TAGTGTAGCAAATAATAGAAATTTCATGCTTTAATTCCTGTTGCTCAAGATTTATAGGCCTTTTCCCAGTTCTTATTTAGTGGTATTTCAACAACACAATGAAAGAGAATTTAACATAAACTGACCTCTAATTAGCAGTAAAAGACACATAATACAGATTTGAAAAGGGGAACAAAAGTAGTTTCTTTCACTCACTTTTTCATTATAATTGGAATCTGAATATGACCAGGGAACAGTTAAGCAGGCACCAGTGCTTGTGGTCAGATCTATGAATCAAAAGAATAAACTGTAAACTGAAGGATCTATTCATCAGCTGCTTGACTTTCAGACATCCCATGTGCCAGAACCATTTCTTTTATCTTTACAAAGCCAATACAGGATACTTACTTACGTGGCTATGTTTTTTTCTGCTACTGCTGGTTGAAATGAAAATTACTATGATAAGAAAAAAATAGTGATGAATTTATACGATGTAATTATCTGTCTTAATGTACACGATACGTGATTTTCAATGGCATTATTTCAGTTCTGCCTCCAGAATTTAAGTAAATCGACATTGATGTAAACAGCACCGGGCCATTCCCTGCACTCGGTCAGGCAAACATTTGTAATGGATGCACCAGGCTACATCTGGGCAAAAGTCTGCTATGTTTTCCTTCTGAGGAACTCCTTGAAGTGTCAGTAACATCTTCAGCAACTGCCCACAGGTACTTTGTGCCACGATGCTGCTGTGGTAGCTGCATTGGTGTCAACAGTCACATGCTATTCTTGACGTGAACGGCATGCTACAGGGCTACAAAGCCTTACAAAATTTGAATGGCCCTTAGCAAAACAACAAACCCCTCATTTACTTGGAGTCTTCAGAGACCTAGGTTCCAACAGAGAGAAGGCAAACCTGTCACGACCCCTCTGGATATTTCTACTCCTGATTAGGACAAAGTGAGGTAAGCTCAACAGACCAGGCTAATGCCCCTTTAGTTGCCCTCCATTCCTCAGACTATGAAGCCACACAAGCTCTTGGCTGCCTATGTGAGATAGCCCACGTGGTTTTATTTATATACATAGCTTAAAAGTCATAAGCTGGTCACTATACTATCTGAACCCTTGAACCTTCTTGCTTGCTTTACTGTGCTTTTTCACTCAAGTTCGCTTGCACATCAGCTACCTGGCATTAACATCCTGTGCTGCTGCAGATGCCATTTCACACAGTGCAGCCAGCCTCTCATCTGAGTTTGCACTAATATACAAACTTGTAAAATCCATTTGATCAGTCAATTGTAACTCGTGACTGCAGCTTTGTACAAATCTTTTCATCACATTCAGCAAACATGAAAGCCTCCCAAGTCAAAACAAATAAATGAACTTAAACATACAGCTCTACTTGCTAGGCAGCTGTCATAGATGAGGTATTAAAGACTGTTAGTTTTTAACCACTTCTTACTTGGTGGGGAAAAAAAAAAAGGAAAAAGCATGCCAAGATTATGAACCAAGATTAATTTTATAGTCATTTTTTGCTTTGGGAGATTTGGCTTGAAATTATCATGGTGACACATTTAACTATAGATTCTGTCTTCATCAAGAACTCATATTTACACCAGAAAACAGATGAACTTCAACACAAGCAGAACACAGATTTTTGTCTTAAAGCCAGTTTTAGTTCCTTATCACCAAGAAGCACTAAGGAATACAAATGTAAGTGTAAAACTGAGCGAGCCCCAAATAAGTTTTACATAATACTTCAACGCAATTGATTCTTAATCACAGTGCACTTCCAAATAACCACATTAGTCTCCACCAGGTAGAAAAAATATTTCAGCATTACGTCTGTAAAACTGTGCTCTTAGTTACAGCTACTGCTTTATTGTCAATTTCTGTTTGACTGTTTTGAAAGAAAACATCAGCCACCTCTGCTAGCTTTGAAACAAGATCAACAAAGTGTCCAACACTACTTCAGTAGTGCTTAAAATTGTGCAAACTGTAGCTTGGCCCTCCAGCCCCATCAGACAACTGGAAACTCATCAGAAAAATCACAGACCCACGGAAGAGACCCAGTCCTCTCTACTTCACACAGACTAAGCCCAGCAGACAACACAACCTCACCAAAACCCATCCTTACCTAAGTGGGTGAGGTAAACAACGAAATAGGAAAGGTGTCTGAGAGTACTCCTAAAAATGGGTATCTCATGCTAATAAAAAGACCTACAGTGCACACTCTCTGCCTTAATGGGTATAAGCAGAGCTTTTAAGTTGTTATTTGCCTGATGAACAATACAATAGCAGGATGTGCTGTTGGCTTTTCTGCAGTCTTGGAAAGAATAATTAACTTGCCCTACTTTCAGACAGTAACTAAAATGGATACCACTCTCTGAAGTTTTAATCATAATTTTCTATGGGGTCATATGGGAAACTGCTGAAGAGATATAAAACTGTTTCATACTACTAATAAAGCATAGAGATTCCTTTTAAAAATAGGGACACTTTTTAAAAAATAGGGCATTTCATTCGTAAAACTCACCTCTGAGACATCAGACAGATGGCGTACTGAAGTCGTCTGTTCAGGAAGCAGTTCAATCTGGAACACAGCAAAGATTTCAAGGCGAGGGATCACCTCTAGTGTGGGAACGTTCCTTTTCTCTTCTTGCTCTGGATCCATAACCTCAAAGAGTCATTTCTTTCTACTGCCATTTCACTAGCTCAACTAACAACTTGGCAAACCGCATCTACTCCTGTACAACCAGTACAATCAGAGTGGAGTTCTACCCGTGACAAAAGTTTACCCTGTTACTTCAGCACACAGGTTGGTCACTGTCTTCAAGAGTGGGATTCTCAGTTGTTTTGCTCACTTTTCAGATATCAGAAATGACAAAACTGTTAACTGTTTCAGCTGAAGATTCTTCCAATCCATTAGACTGTTCTTCACTTCTATTTAGATCTGTTTCTTCAAATGGAAACTTGGAAACAAATGACGCAGCATCCACTAAACCAGTTGAATCAAAACTGTAGACTATTTGCCCATTCTATGTTTAAGTTGGTAGAAAAAGAGTAAAAATGATTACTGCATTTCAAGTAAACTTGAGCTACCACAGCTCTGAATGAAATTTTTAACAGCATTTGGAAATAAAAGAAAACATATGCGTTATTCTAATGAAGAAACTCTGCAAATACAGATGTTTTTAGTTTCCTATGAAACATAAAATAACTCTCTAATTTTATTATTCCACCAGGGCACTTGATTCTTAAATAATTATTAAAGAAATCCAGTTCTTGTAAAAAATTTCACACTATCATCATGGTTCACCTTCTCAGTCTTGCACAGTAATCTGGTTTTGTACAAGTGAATTAATGACAGTAATTCCCTTGCTTCTAAACTAAGCATATATTTCTGGCTTGACCTGAAAAAATAATATTCTCTTGGGTGATTATGTAATCATTTCATTGAACTCAGTATTCCTTTCCAATGAAGATGAGAATTATATTTTCACACATTCCAAGAAAAGCAGAAAGATTAATCACCGTCTGAAAATCCTCCACATTTATATATTTATATTTGCATATCTACGTACATAACAATGTGCACAACCATAAGAAAAAAAGAAATGGCAAAAGACACCATAAAAATCATTTATGAAGTTTTAAAAATCCTGGGCTCCCTATTTCTGCCTGCCTGCACTTGCATACGATAGAAGGAAGCAGCTTTTGATTAGCTTTTCATTTTATATTTTAACTCTCTGCCTTCATTTGTTATACCTGCTCTCGATTTCATGCGTTCCTTTCATGATGCAATGTGGCAGCTTACAGTTCACGAGAGCAGAATCAACGTCGTAACATTAATGCATAGACTCATTTACCTTCCACCCTGCAAAGAAAGATGCCTTCAAATAAAGTCTTGAACTGTACAGCTTTCCCCGCGAATGAGAAAATTCAGATTTTTGTTGTTAATCCCTAAGTTTTGGACCACAACTATTCTTGAAAATTACTCCCCAATCTCCACTGCTCTTTAGTAAATTTAGTTTACTGAGTCGTATTTGTATGACACGCAGTTGTGATACTCAAGGACTAAAATCCAGGTTGATCTCTTCCTTTTCTACGTGGAATTTTCAGGGAAGAAACAACACAAACTTATTTCACGCTCTTTTGTGCAACAGCTCATTTTCAGCCTTCAAACCGTAATTTCATTAGCTAAATAAACACTGAATTTTCTTTTTATGCTTTAATTCCCCGCATCACGGGATTTAAAGAAATGATTTTTGCTTTGCCATCTAATGACGTTTGGTTCTAACAGGAAAAAAAAAAAAAGACAACAAAAACAACAAACAACAGGATTTGCTACATCAGCCAATAATGACAACAACTTATCTTCAGCTTCTTTATTTAAAATCAATTTATATATCAGTTAATTTCATCCATAAGAAACTGTGCTCCGATAAAATCCCGTTGTATTTGACTGGCAAACCCCTAGCTATTTTTATTTTAAGAAAATAATACACCTATGCCCCACAAATTATCACGGAGTTTAAACAAAAGTACGTCTCTCAATTATATAATGAAGACAATGCCACAGAAGTATATAACAAATCTATAGAAAATTCAGAAAAAAAATACAGAAAAATAGAAGTCCATAATGGGTTTTGCCTCAATCCAAAATTATTTACTGGAAATAAAATAATAAAAAATGCTTATTAATATAAATAAATACATGTTTTTATAGATGAAATGTATCTGAAACATGAATTTTTCTGTTTCATAATTTCAAACTATGCAAAAATTCAAAATGATGGGCTGTGTTGGCAAAAAAGTTGGTTACAAGAGTCTTTATTTTGCAAACTATACAGAAACAGTAAAAAATAAAATGCAGTGTACTTTTCAATATCACATAGGATAAACATTAAATTTTGTATTTAATGTGTAAAAATTAATTCAAATAATAAACTGATTTTCCTTTTAATTACTGATGGGAAACCAGTAATCCAGTTTTGAAATCATACAACCTGTAGTATTACATTATACAGGTTAAGTCAACTTTATTGTGGGCAGAAAGCAATAGATGTGATATGAAGATGGTGGAGTCCCAAAGTTTCTACACAATTAATTAACATGCTAACATAAATACAGTGATTAAAGAAATTTTCTCTACAGTCAAATCTTAAGTGCTACTCTACACAATAATTATGATCTAATCCACATGGTAGTTACATAACAGTAGGAAAAAAAATACTCCGTTTTCTTCATTCCAGCAGCAGTAACCTATACTGGCATTAATTTGGTAATTGGGTGTGCTCAGCTATTGCCTAACAACCTATACTGGTATGCATGCTCAAGTCTCTCTATCTCTATTTTTGCAAGGCACCTTTACAATACTTTCGCTAAGTTTCTGCACTAGTAACAGAAAACAACATGAGTTAAGATAAAGATGCAAAACTATTTCCTGAATTTAGAAAATAAAAGGTATAATTATGCACTTCTTAAAAACTATGTTGGGCCAACTGTCAATACTCTGAAACACAGTCATATATAAAAGTAATATAATTTTACTCAATTTTTTCCCCATGTTAACTATTTTATGGTAATCTGATTAGAGAGACATACTGAAAAATAACAAAGGGTGAATTAATGTTTGAGTAAATAACCTTAAAGCCTAGACAACCTCGACGTGAAAAAAAAGAAAAAGAAAGTCAAGGAAATGTTTAATTTACAGAATCAGTGCTCATCTGTGAGACTGCTTTTGAAAAATCCCTTCAAGAACCTAGCCGTATCCTATTAAAAAACAACTCCAAATGCAAACACGAATGAGGACTTTGTTCATTTTTCCCTCCTGTTAATTTTTCTCCTTACCTTTGGTTAATTAAAGGCTGGTAAGATGCTACTTGTGCATCAAAGTTTTTCTCCTGCACCGTGTTTTTCTTGTGTTAAGCAGGCAACTTGCAAAGCCTGCTGTGCCTGACACAACTGAAGTTACAGTAAGTGTCCTGAAGAGGACATGCACAGGGTCCAGGTAAGGGAAATAACTTTTCACAGAAGTTTTAAAAGAACTGGTCTTAATAGTGTATTTTCTACATTATATCATTTATATGTTCAGTAGCACATAACATTTTCTTCTTCAGGCTACGCTTCCAATGTGTTTTCTTCAGCGCAAAGGCATTTAAAAACTCAAAAGCACATAATATAATTACTCTTATTTAAACAAAAAAGTCTATGACTCCAGCTGCAATGTTCGAAATAATCATACAAAATATACACATTTGTTAGAATCCTTTTGATCTTGAAGAGCAAAGGGATTTTGTGAAATGTCGTACTGTGAATTTTAGAAAGATACAATTCATCCACCCTCCTAATATCATCAAATATATCCATCGTGATCATCGTCGTCATCCACATCATCATCTCCTTCATCTTCATCATCGTCATCAATTTCATCTTCATCATTCATTATTTCATCATCATCATCTTCATCATCTGTCCAGTCATGGAAATCACCAGAAGCAAAATCCCCTGACGTCTCTAAATCAATAGCTGAAAAGGCATGAGAGTTACACAAGAGACACACAAACTCTATCATGCATTCATAGAATAATACGTACCATATTTATCAAGTAATATTCATAGGCATTCAAAAGAGATGCAAATTATTTAGTTTCAGGAGAATCACTTACTTTAAAAAAAAACTTTCACACAGAATATAATTACACAATAAAATATAAACACTATCTTTTTCTTTTTTGTCTTACAGGAAATGCACATCAGTAGGGATGAATTCCTCAACTTCAATAAATAGAGATGAATGTCACGGACTTGCAGAAATATAATAAGCTCCAGGAAAAGAAAAAAGGATTTAAGTCCTACTTACAGTTCAAAATAAGGACTAGTGACAAAACAAAGTTTGTTTCTCAGTTCTTACATATCATCTTTAACTACCTGGAACTGTACAACTACCCAGAACTGGATTAGATGGAAAATTGGCCTGAACAGGTATGTCAATTGCTGAAACACTGATATGTGTTTAATTTATCCAGTATTTCAGGCTACGCTCCCTTGCTTTGCAATGGAGAAATGGAGAAATGCAAGGCTTTAATTGCCATTTTTGATGTCTTGGACACAAAATAAAGGTGGAATGGGAATTCCTGGAAGTTGCGGGGCTTTTTAGAGGAAAAAGGAAAGACTTAATGTGCTGAAAACTTCTGGAATTCGTTCCAGCAAAACAAAAAATCTAGCATGCTGATTACCCAAAGAGATGTCACCAAGCATTTCAGGGTATTTGTCTAACACTGTTATAGGTAGTTAATTTTCCCTAAGTTTATCTACACCATGAAAAGCACAGACACGAGGTCTATTAACAACTGTCACAGTCATAGGAGTTACAAAGACCAAAGAAATAAAAATCACAAATTGTATTTACATCAAAACCCACGTAGTTGCATCCCATGCCTGTTCTTTGTGAAGAAATTTTTTTTTATAGCCTGGTTGGCCATCAAAGCACATAACATCTCCAAATCAAGTCCACAGAAGTTTCTTAACTTACCACATTCTGCCACACCGTTTGTTCTGGATCCTGTTACTTCATTGCCATATCTGTCAACGCACCAACACTGCCCTACACTTCCATGGCACTGACTTGGTTTGTAATATCCATCTTCATCACATAAGGGTATGTACTGTCCTGGAATATAAAAATATCAAATACAGACATAAATGCCCCTTGATCAATGTAAAAAAGGTCACTTTCTTCTGCCAGCTTCTGTTAAGCAGCAGTGACTGATAAGCAAGAGTACAGTGGATACCAGCTTTGAACTGGTTAGTCTCATCTAAAATCTTTCATTTTGGGCACTCTCATTTTATTTATTAGCTTAAATTCCAATTATACTGTATTATATTATGTTATCTCACATTCCACTATCATATTTCGTAAATTACTTTTCTCCCTTAGCTCGTTGCTGCTGTTTTCTTTTTAGGCCAATCTCCCTATCTTCTTCCCTTTTTCCCTTCCCCTCTGCCAGGATGTTGGTCTCCAACCCATTACTTAAGGAATCGGGCCCAACCAGCCCAAGAACAGTGACAAGTAGAGACGTGATCATGGACTTATCCTCAAAGGCTGTATAAGTCACTGGCTTTTAATTTACAAGGAAAGACATCTTTTTGAAACAAAGTTAAAAAATGGACAAACAACACTGTACAAAACACTTACAAGTACACAGTTACTTGAAACCATCCTTAGCAGAAATACAGTTTTGACTACTTTGGGTCAAGCCTTTTATTGCAGCTTTCACACTGAGGCTAAGAGCAAAACGAAGATCTTGCATTTTAGTGATATTAATACAATATATACTGATTAACAAGAAAGATTTCAATTGCTTAAAGAAGGATTCAAGTAAGGATCAGCAGAGACACTCTATAACCATAAAAACATACTTCCTGTTAGGTTAATAGAACAGACATTATATCTTTCAGTAGGTATGGTAATAAAACTAAGTTGAATAGCTTTCAAAAATGTCATAAATTTTGTTACTAGAATTTACTGTTCTCTATCTTTGCTGGATTAATATTGATTTTATGTTGCTGTTTCACCAGGATTATTTATGTAAGCAATAAAACCTTCAAAAGAATGATCTATGGCTCACCCAGGAGCTTCTTTCCTCCTTGCTGCTTCTGAATGTTGCTGAGTTCCGTCTGGCAAGGTGGGTCTAAAAGGACATGAGAAAGGTTGAACATATTACATGGTATCTAGGAAGAAAAGCAGATGGCTAAGTTTTCACAGTTTGCTACATTCTCTAACTGCTGATCTTAAAAAACACACAGCCCTTACCTTAGCAGTCACATTCTCAGCTCTGAAAGAGAAGAATTAATCCAGCTTGCCACAGCTCTGGAATTAGGAAACTAAGCACAACCACGAATTAGAGCAGAAAGCAACTGCCAGTTAACCCAGCTGTAAGTGAACATCTGGTCACCAGTACTGACCATTTCAAAATGTTATAACAAAACAGTAAATCTACCACACCCTACTTCATCAGTATACAGAAATCAATCTTACCCTTTCATCTCCGTTACAAGTCATGTTCAAGTTCTGAACTTCAAATACGGCATTAACTACGTAAAAATGTTCTTCACTGAAATTTGCAAGACTGGGGTTCTATTGCAACAATTAAAGACAAATTCCATGGGCATGAAGCTCTTTGTTTAGCAATCTAGTTAAAAACTGTGCCCAAAACTTCAGGTAAGAGGCAGAAGAGGTAATATGATTTCCATTAGTCAGAGAGATAGCTCCGAATCATTTAATTTTCTGCTCTCTATAAAGTCAGAGTACATTCCATGAACGGGAAGGAAATAAGACACAAATACACATCCATCACTGCTGAATAAATTTTGAATCCAGATATTGCATACATTGCACCACTAGCACAAAGGTATTTCTCACTCTGAAACAGTATTAATATTCATGGATTTACTCACATGTGTGTCTTCAGCTCTAAGTGTTCCCAGACTATAGTCTGATAACATCTCTACTAGAATCTCACATGCTGTTAAGTTCATTTTTCATTTGAAGACACTCTGGTTATTTGTAATATATCTTTTCCATGCTATTTACTCAAGGCTTCCTCGTGAAACAACTTCTGTCCACGCACACAGAAAACAAACCTAAGTTACTTCAAGATCAGTAAGATCACCTTAGCTTTAGACACACTAGCAAAAGACCTTCTGAGCAGAAATCAGTCACTGCGTAGGCTAAAAAAAACCCCACTTCAGTGGTCCAAGTCCAAAGCAGCCTTTCCTGAATTCCACCAAAGGAAAACAAGTATTCTCATCATGTAGTCGAGAGAGAAAGAATTTGGAACGCAGCTGGGAGAAGCAGAGGATTCACAAAAGGGTGAAGGACTGACAAAAATGTAATATCCAAAGAAATCTTTCTGGCGGGAATGCTCAAACATTAGTGATAATTACATAGAGTAACTGGATCAAAAATAAATTCATGGTCAATGCAGCATAGCCTGGATACACCAATAGGCTTTTGAAACTATTAATGATGTCTTATCTAACAGAACAAATATAAACTGCAAGAGATCAAAAACCGCTCATTAAGAACCACTTGTTAATTTTTCTTGGCTTTATACTTTAAATGCTCTTTACTTATCTCATACACTAAAAGATACATACAACTTTAGACTGCCCTCAACTCGAATGATTACAGCCATTCACACAAAGAAGTCCCACAGATCAGAAGGATCTATGAAAGAAGATGGGAACATGCAGATGAAGAACTAGCCTAGCAAGAAGATACATCTACTGTGTTCTATGGAAAAAAAAAAAAGTAAATTAGAAATGCATTCATATATTTTATAAAAGTGACAGGCTATGCCTACAAAACCCCTTCAATTACAGCTACAGATCAGGGAGAATTAGAAAAAAAAATACCACTAATCAAAAGGTAACAAGGCCATCATGACAAAGCTACTTACACAAAATTCTTTATAGCAGCTAAGTCTTCAAGATACACATTTAAGTTTTGCTTCTCAGGATAAAAGTGGCAAAACATTCTTAGAAATCAATATTAAAAACACTCTTGTGCTTAGAGCTGTCAAGAAAGCGGCAGGCTGGAAGCTCAACTGGTTTGTTGTAGTTCATAGCTCATAATTTTTCAACCCATCCCGAATGATAATGTTTCCCTCTTCATTTTCTTCCACTTAGATCGTGATTTTTGGAAAAGCTTTCTTCTAGGTTTCTGAACTTAATTCAATACAAAGCAGATTCAGTGGAAAACCAGCCTTGGGAGTCACGACCAAAGAAGATTTATTCCGTACAAAAATTATTGTTGAGTCTTCCTTTGAAATTGAAATGAATCTGACATCAGAAAAGCCTTTCTGATAGCCTGAATGCAAACAAGAGACCTCACCATCTCCATCCTCAACCTATTTCCAGCAACGTGACAGGAATTTTCTGACAAAATCACTGCGTTGTTCTGAGTGATTTATGAACCACTTACTGGCCACCCACGTTTATGCAGTCATCGAAATACTGATGTACACCAGAGTATCTCACGTTGTTAATACTGGACTTTGAGACATCAATATTCAGCTATGTCAAAAGGTGGTGCAGGGCTTGTATGATAAAGCTTTGGTTTACAAAAAGAGGTACGTTCACAAAGCAATGGGAGGAAAATTGATAGATGTGACAAAAAATGTCTAGGATACTTAACAGTAATGCCTCAAGGAGCTGCTGCTCAAATAGTGAGCCTCCAGCTTTCAGATCCTCTATCTTATTCAATTACAAAACAGATTTTCCAAGTATCAAGTAGATAATATTTTGCAGATCCCCTAGTTTTTGACATGAAAGTTGTCACGTTGTGTCTTGTCTCCAATTGCAGTCAAGTATATATAATTGATTATGGACAACTCAGGCTCTAGGTATAGAGATTTGAAGTGGTCAATATTGCACTTCCAGAAACCTTCCTGGGGACCTCATTTATACAGCCCACATTATACCTTCCTCTCAAACCATCTACACTCGTATTTAATACCCTGCAGGCTCAAGAGACTGATGCAACAAATAAAAATCACAACATTTCCACTATTCTGCAAGACAAACTAGTTTGAAGGTCACAAAGTAGTTTTTTATTCCTGATAGGCAGAAGAGCCTGTAGGAAAAAGACATCCAAGATAAATGCCAGACTAACAGACCCACACAGTGGCCTGCAGTAAATAAATATCTATGTTCCAAGCATTAATACTCCCAGCAAAAGTGGTTACTCTCCTACTCTATTTTCAAGGAGCAATGAAAACAAACAAACAAACAAACAAAAACTTGTAATACTGATGAAGTACTAGAAGAAATAACCAACCTGTAAAGAGGCCAACAGTGAAGTGCCTCAGCATTTAGTTAAGAAAGAAGTGTTAAATTAATGTCAAGGACCAAAGAAAAAAAGTTCTGAATCACTTGCATCAATGTTCGTTGAAACCAGAGGGCAAGAGGGACCAAAACAGGTGGGAAGACAGCAGAGCACTAGGAAGTCCAGATTCTGAAGTACTGCAGAAATGCTGAGCTGCATTTACAGCGGGATAAGGCCAAGAAAAAAAGCAATATGCATCGCTGGGCCTTATGTAAGAAATTAAGCAGCAGCCAAAGTGGGAAAGCTTTTACAGGAAGAGCAAGACAGATTAGATTTGAGTACTGAAAAAATTACTTGTATTGACTAGATGTGAGTACTGTGCAGTAATGGGGCTACTGCACTTTGACTTACCATAATAAAACTCGAGCAAAAAGAAAGCACAAAGAATTGCAAGTAATTGTCTGATCCAAACAGTCATGAACTGATAAATTAAATGACACAGTAAGAGGCCTTCTCAAATGATGACTTCAGCAAAGATTATGGAATTCAAAAATAGTAAAATACCATTTCCATCCCAGTGTGATACGTATAATTAACTAAGTTTTGTATTCACTTCAAACTTGGTTAATCAATACTTCTGTAAAACACTAAGTGTACCCAGAAAACACCTATTAAGTTCAATGAATAAGACAGTTGCCTTCATGATCTGAAGCCTTCATCTTATTATAGTGAACATCAGAAAGAAAATACTGAATTTCTCTACCTACCCACTTCCTTACTATCTGCAGCAAAGGCCTAGTAAAGGGCCTTATTTCTATTCTACTTGGGGAGGTAAAAGATAGTTAAACTTGAACATATTAAAAGATGCTACAACACAGCAAATAGTGATTAGATAATTTAGTGAGTCACACATACTGCAAGTTCTAACATTGTGCGAGACAAGAAATGACAAAAGACTACAAGCACTCAGCACTTTTTTCTCCTTACACCTTTAGAAAAAACAGATTTTGTTAAGTGTTAATTAGAAGAATTATGTTGCCTTCCAAAGAATAAAGACGTTTATTTATTAGGCTCATTTGGGGTTCTGTTTATTTTAAAAGACAACCAAACAAAACACTCTATGTTCTTTACTTAAGAACTACTTTGCTTGGGTAATGTTTGATTGACTAATTTTGGTAGCACTGACTACTTACAGAAATTAGTATTATTCTACAATAAAGCAAGGTGCTTGAAAGATTGTTAACTTTTTAGTGGTAAGACTACCAAAGGAAAGAAGCAAGTTACTGTACATCTAAAGAAGTGTAGTTTTATTTTTGCTCAAATCTACTCAACTGCTCAACGTTGCCTGATAGATCTTTATTTCCACAGAAATCAGAGCCAAACCATACGTAGTGAGTGTTAATGGGAATTTATCATGGAAGTTTTAAAAGCATAAGATATTAAAAAAAAAAGAGATATTAAATTTCAAAAGCATTGAACAGTTTCTGAAATTTTCCACTGCATCATCAATCTTCCCTCCTGCACAGTCAACATCTGTAGAGATTGGGATCTGAGTTGCTATTTATCCCTTTGAAAATCTCCCTCATATCAGCAAGAAAACTGAATGGGCAATTCTATCCAGTTTCAGCCAATATTTACTGAGTGAACTCTGTAATTCCTCACAACTTGTTTGAATATAACTCACGTGATGACTCAGCCAAATCTAAAAATCAATACTTACGCACTATGTTTATTTGTTTAAAGAAATCACATCAGGCCATTAAAAAAAAAAAAAAAGATTCTTGCAGACAGTGAAAATCAACTGGTTTTAGGTTCAAATGACTGAAAAAGAACTTTATCCATGATGTTAGTGTAGTTATTGTAATAGGCTTACAAAAAAAAACCCACTAAGATGCCCTAGTTTAGCAATGAAATGTTTATTTTATAACATATGCAAAGCAGATAGGGAAAGAACTAAAGTGAGTGATTCTATTCTTTATTTTGGTCTCTTTCCTCTGTGCGAATACCAGAAATCAGCAGGTAAAACAATACTGCTGTAAAAGCTTTTGCCACTCCTCTGTACTTTATCCTTGAATTTCCATCAAACTCTTCCATTTAGTTTCTTTTTCTCCCCCTTTTTTTTTTAGGTATTCACAATAGATCAAAAAGCTGTACACAGATTGATAGCAAGGCATTTAAAAAGCTTGTAGTTCACCGTAATAATCTTCCTACGTTAAAGAAAAGATGGAGCACTACAGTAAGATCAGTCATACAAATATGCAGGCTGTTCTCATCTTTTACCTTGCTGTCTTTGGAAGCAGTAGCACCACTCATTGTTAGATATCAAACTATCCTTGTATGTGTCACAGGAATTGAAGAACGCCCTTGTGCATGGCTCATTCTTGTCAAGGTAAATGCTTCCAAGTTCTGACTGGTCCAACAACAGGTCGTAGTTCATATCAAGCCTGTTGAACATCCAACCGAGGGAGTCTTTGCAAATTGGCAAAATGCTGGTATCAAATCCTAGAAGCCAAAAACAAAAATAAATCAGGTAACAGGAAAGATAAAGCAGGTACTGAGCTCAGCCACCACAAAAGCATGCTGTATAACAGACATTGCTCCAGTGCTACGAGGATACAGTACACAAGCAGTGGGCACCATTGAGATTCCATGTGTAAATTTCACTTCATCTTCATTTTAAAAAATCATTAAGTTAATCTGCTTAAAATAAATCCTGTCATCAGTCTTGAAACAGTTAGAAATATGAGCCTTCTTGTCAAATATTACACCTATAGCACGCGTAGTATGTGCAGTAATGAACAACCTACGATTTCCTGGGAAGTAATTTTTTGGAGAAATTTAGTGATGTTACACATCAGGAGAGGGAAGCAAAGCTGAAGTGGCATGCAAAGTTCACAAAACTAATAAAAGACTAAATAGCAAGCAACTTAGTGGAGTACACTTGTTTCTTCCCATTACGTATATTCAGCTGAATGAAAATGGAACTTCATATGGTCTCAGCAATGCCTAGAAAGTTCTGGTATCCAAGCCTTATCTGATGCACTCTACATATCAGGGGAGGCATGCAAAAAGGGACTACTAAGAGCAGCCTGTTTCCAGTGTAAGATCTACCTGTACATCTTGCTTAAACTGCTCCCTGGTAACCAGGCCACCAGGAAGAGGTTGAATTAATTACTCCTGTAACCAGATCTCAGATTTCACATACCCTGTATCAGCTGTGAAGTACAAGCAGACTTGCATATGGACATGGAAGGGAAATGCATGAACTGACAGGCCTCTCACTTAGATGTGAGCTGCGTTTAACACAGATTTTTTCTTATTTGTCACGGGTCTTGCCATGGAGAACACGGTAAAGCACTTGACTGTACATCCTAACAGACAACAAGATTTAGCTGAATACAAGATTCTACTGAATAGCTTTTCAGCTAAAACCAAGCAATGAAAAGATGAGACGAGACTGTGGCTATAGAGAAGTTGATGCGAGAGTTCCACTTAGCATACAGGAATTCCCAGCTTCTACTATTGTTAAAAATCGAGCTGTTGTTCTGAAAACAATACAATCCGAAAAATAGTTGTATACTTCTAAAACAAGTCAAACTGGAGAATTCAGAAACCTGACTTAGAAATCAGTTTACATTTCTTTAGATATATATGCATGTGGGAACATCCAGACTGTGGCAGAGCAACCATTTCAGAAAGGAAAATGCCCAAACACAAATTCCCTCTCCCTAAAAATTCTAAATAAATGTTTTTTGCTTCAGTTAATCTTGCTCCCTGTTGGCTTGTTGTATTCACTGTTATTTCTGCTTTACAGGAAAAAAAAAATAAATCACAATCCTTTTGGTACTGATTACATTGATATGTTTAACACAACGTAAAAACAACTATGAAGCATCCAAGAAAAGGACACTCTTCCTTACTCTCCAAGCTTCTGACAAAACAACTTCATTTTTCTGTGGACTACGGAGAGCAGAGACAGACAAGACCAGACCAAATGTCCAAGGGTATCCCAGTACATGTGTTATTCGCCTTCGCCTGTGAAAGACATCAAAATTATTTAACAAGTGTTCCAAATGTTCCAAAAGAACTTCGGAACGTTCTTCCACCTTAAAACATTTTTTTCCAAGGATGAATTTTCAGTATAGTATTATTTACCTCTCAGGCTCTGTTCCTGAAGGCCTCTTAACACTTCCCAGACACTTCTCTTTCCTCTGCTAGTCCTGCTTTCAGCTAGAGATCCTCCACAAGACATTGGATTCAGGAAGTGCTTGATATGAAACATACCATTTCCTATCCTGCCTTTTGTGTACCTGTATGTAGGGAGGAATCATTCTTGTGCTCAAGAATTTTTCTGATTTTGGCATTCTTGCTAGCTCACCAGACTGTAAGAAAAGTTGCAGAAAAAGAGCAACCATGAGGAGAAGACAGAGATTTTATTCAATAAGATGCTGGCAAGAATAGAAGACATAAGTCATTCTAAATGTGTATTCAGGGTTGAATGTTGTTGTCAAACTAGATAACTGTGCAGAAAAGTACATCAGTATGTGGAATTTCTAGCATCTGTCTAGTGAAAGAGGTATCATTCTCAAGTTTAGTACGCAGTATATGTGGTCCATGCTGGAAGAATGAATTCACTCAAGTACACCCTTAAGTATACTGCCTTCTAGGATACTAGGAGCAAGTGTTATATAAGCAAAAGAGCTCTTAAGGAAAACAAAAACAACCAAGCACTCTGGTTATTTCATTTCTAGTAGTCAATTTCAATTTTTATCATAAAAGGAAATAAATTTGTCTGAGGTACGTTGAAAGGCCACTTAAAATTTCAAAGGTTTTGTGCATCACTAAGTTATGGTGTGGAATAAAATTACATGACTTCAAGAGGTTGTATTCAGGAGGTTTTATCCATAAGCTAGCAATTTCAGTTCATCCTCTACTCCAATTCCTCAGAATTTTCTCTCTTCTATACAGCTTTTATATTTTTTTAAAAAAGTGTCCAGTAGTGAAATCTCTCTGGCTTTCCAAGATAATTCTGTGTAACAAAACTTCATAGGTTAGTTCAGAGCCTGAAAAATAACGTTTATTTTACATTAAAGCTGTCATAACCTACCTATTCATTAGCATCTGGTTGAAAAAGACCGCCAAGATCATCTTTTCCAACCATCAACCCATACCCACCACACCTGCTGAATCACATCCCTCAGTGCCACATCTCCCCTTTTCTTCAACACCTCCAGGGATGGTGACTCCACCACCTTCCCAGGCAGCCCATTCCAGTGCCCTCTCCTGGTGCAACCTGAGCCCATCACCTCTCATCCTATCGCTATTACCTAGGAGAAGTTGTCCTCTACTTTGTTACAAAATCCCTCCAGGTAGCGGTACACTATTATTTAAAATTCTTCCTTTCTTTGGTATTTACAAACGTAGCATTTTAAATAGAGAAAAATCATATCTCTTTGCTTTCATTTTGCTAAATGCAACAGGTTGCATTGCAGTGTTGTAGAGAAATGTTTAAAGTCTATGTCAAATACTAGTATAGGTGAAATAAATAAAAAAGGCTGAAGTACTTAGGAGTAGGCACATGTTGACAGAGATAAAAAATGACCAAGTTAAAAACAAGCTGTCCACCTACTCTAGAACTGTTCTACCCCACAAAGATCATTACCCGAGTTTGGTGTTCATAATATCTACTCTTAAAAGATTACTGTGATGTCAAGTAAGCAACTGGGAAAACTTGGGATGATCATTTCATTCTGCAATGATTTTCTACCTCTACTGTAACATTGAGAAATCAATACACCTCTTATTCTCAAAGGTGACAGACTTCAGAAAAAAAGAAGTCAAAGCACTTAAGAACACCTGATGTGGTTTGACGCAAGGTAAATTAACATTAAGTGACCCAGAACGAGAAATAAATTGCTCCAAATCACAGACTACCTATATTTTTACTTCACGAGTCAAGTGGAATGCTGCTCTTACACATTTTTCACAGCTGTGAAGAAAACAAACCGAAGAAAGGGGAAGAATTGCTATAGCAAAAGGATAGTAATTTCTTCCTGTTAATGTTCCAGAATATCATGTTGAAGAGAGCAAAACTGCTGCTCAGATGCCTGAATTAGTGGAAAAACTCTCTCATTTTAAGCACTTATTTGAAATCTATTTCCAGATATGATAATGAAGAGGGCTTTTATGTAGCTATTTCTGAACATTGTGTAAATCTAGTAAAAGTGAACAAAAGAAGTATTAAGGATTTAGCTTTATTTCATCTAATGCATATAACTGCAAAAGAACTTGATTTTTAAAAAATGGGAAGTACCAGCATAAGCTCCTTTCCCCAGCCAAAACAATCCCAAGGGAAACGCTACTGACAAACGTACCCCTCGGTCATGGCTTAAACATCAGCATCCAAAATGTTATTTTGAAAGAAACCAACAAAAACATGATCCATTTCTGATTATTTTTCAGGAGAGAATTTCAACTCACGGTAATCATAATCTGCTTTTCAATGTAGAAATATTATTTGCTTGGTTATTATGCTCATAAGAAATAAATCCTTGTGTATGTTGAGGAAGATAGCTTTTGTAATTGCTTATGTGGAAATCAAAATAGCATACACACGGCTCACGTAGTGCATTATGTAAAGTTGCTTATATGCCAAGGGAAGCAAAAGGCGTGATTCTTTCTGCTACCAGCTCACAGTCCAGCACAGTAAAAAGCACTGCCAAATCACACAAGTGAATAAACTCAATGTGCTCTATGCTTGAGAGCAAACTACTGTCTAAACCACAGTCTTTATTTGCTCAGCTAGCAAGCTGCATAGCAAGGTCCACACTTGTGATTTTATTTTTTTTTATCATATATAGGCTATGAGACAACTTTATGTTAACAGTACCTCAGAGCTGAAGTCTACACTGCACAAGCTGGGAATGACTTTTCCTTCCCAGTCTAGTTTTACCAGAACAGATCTGAGCAAGGACTAAACTTAAGAGAGGTATGGGAACTGTTGAGTCATGGCCTGAACCGCTCATTGAGTACCTGGGGAAAGGATGGGGTCAGCCTTGGGAGTGCAAGCAAAGGCAATTCAGCTGTGTGACCAGAAGGGGTGAAGCCTGGCTGAACCTAGACCTCATTACAGGCTGACGGCCAAACTGTGGAAGGTGCTCTGGTTGGAGATGCCTTCTTAGTGGAGCTTTCCCCTCTGCAAACCTACAACCTTCTGATACAGGTGAGCAATCTTCCCTTCCTTTATGGCACCTTTCTATCACGCCGGTCCTTCTGTCATCACACCTCTGTTCTATCTCCTTTCCCACTGTAATCCGTCCAATTCCTACAGGGGACAATTAAGCAGATTTGAAGGCTTTTTGTCACGTCTGCTGCTCACAAAAAATGCTGCTCTAGTTGAGACTCACCTGGCACCAAGTGGTAGCATCAGGCACGCGCTCTCTGTAGCCTAAAATTTTAGTGTATTCCTGATGACTACAATTACACAGGTGGGAGCAGACTCAGGATTAAAGACACTGGGAAGGTACCAAAGGTACTGATTCGTTTTACAACAAAATGCGGATGGAAAAGAAATAGAGCACTGTTGCAAAGTCCCTTAAACATTTGTGAAAGTTCAAATCCTGAAGTCTCCCCTCTTCCATAAAGTGTTTTAGAGAATTTTACACGGAAAAGGTAAAATTCAAGCTGAAGCCTATTGCGGATAGTTGTAAACATGCTCCAACGTGGATGGCATAGATTAAATGAGTTCTGCTAAGGCCGCATTTTAAATAAACAGACTGTTAAGGAAAAGGTACCTGAGGAGGGAGGAATAAAATTAACAGTGCTACAAAAAAACATCTATATCTGCTTCGCTGTGTACAAGAATAATCTTGCCTGTACATGATTGAAACAAATGCCAGCCAACAGTACAAATTTAGTTCATTTAGAGTCTTGATTTTAGGTGAACATGCATTAATTTAAAATTCCAATTCAGATGAGCTTCTGAGTAGGCTAATCTGACAATGCAGAAGGTCCTTGAAAGAACCTTTTCCCTCCAGGAAACGTAACTGCAACTTCGATTCAGCTCACCAGCCTCAGCGGCTCTGCAGTTAGAGGATATTGGATACTGTCAAAGATAACATCAGAAAGCAGGCAAGCTTACAGTCAAGTCAGTATTTTCAAGACATCAAAAACAATGTTTAAAACTAAAAGCTCCATCTCTTAGAACTACACAATGACTGTATGGGAGACAACCACAGTAGTAGTGGTTTACCAGTCTGCTTACCAGTTCTGCCTATTTACTGAAGTTCTGAAATACGCTTCAGCAAGGAGGTCCAGGGACACTTAATTTCTCTGTATGCCAACTGTATCACGTCTCTTCAAGAAGAAACTTCAGATACTTAAAATGAACTAAAGACCTCCACACAGATACCTGAAATTACTTACTTGCATTATTCTATATGAAATCAGTCAGATACTGCTTTGAGCTTGTAGAGTATTTGGCAATTTTAGTGTAACAATATCTCTTCATACCAGCTTTAGACAAGCCATTTACAGTTCTCTTTCAGATTTTTTTGCTGTTGTTACTTATTTTGCCTATTTTAACCAAATAACCACAATATTACCAACTCCTAAGAATATTCTCTATCATCTGGCCTCTAGTCTTTCAGTTCCCAACATTACACGGTGTACAAGTACTCCTCAGAAACAGACTGCTAACGCAAATATTTATGGGACTATGGTATTTTTTATGCTTTACATCTGCTGCATTAATTCCGCAGAGTTTTATCTCACAAAATTAATACAGAAATAGACTAACTTTAAATCTATGAGTAAAATCAACTCTTTACCTCCCTATGCATAAAGGAAGGACATAATGAGTATGACAGTGCAGTACAGATTAAGCACCCTTTTCCTGCTTACGTCATCTAACCAGACCATGAATGGGAAAAGGGAAAATATCTTCTTCTTATATACCATTTATAATAATGATACTTCTAGGGACATACTATCTGAATACATTTGAGCAGAAAACAGATTTTGGAAATGAAATTTATTCAATTACTACAAACATTCTAGCTTGCACAACTAATATGATACAAATCTAAAAAAAAAAAGTGTCAGTTAAAAACAAACTATGTAAGTCCTGGTAAAAACACAACATTGTAGATGCTTTATGTTTCTTGCTTAGTATCAGAATATTGAAGCTTGTAATGGAACAGTAATTTCAGCACCAGTGTTAGGGCTGTTAGGAAGCAGCAACCATGAATGTAACCATCAATGTGAACTTTAACAGCTGAAATAATTCCAAACAGCGTTATCAACTTTCACCCTCTCTACCTTGGTCGGAAGGACTGTGCCCAAGACTTTAAATAAATCCTCTCCCAAGTGCCAGAAAAGAGACTGAAACAGGTGAAAAAAAAAAAAACCTAAATGGAAACAGACATCCAGGAAGGATGTCACAAATTGCTGTTTAAAATTCAGAATCGTTTCTCAGCAAAGAAGGAACACTGACAAGAATAAAAGCCTGAGGGAGAGCATGCCATGACAGATTTTTAACTCCTCAATGGCAGTGAACAAGTCCAGGGTTCTGCTGAAATAATTAGTACTATGAATGCATTCAATAGCTTTTTTTTTTTTTCTCTTTGTTACTGTTGATATGTATAGGTCCTTAACTCAGGCAACAAGTATAAGGTCTCTACATAAGATCAACAAATTCTTTGCATGATTTGTTTCTAGACGTAGCTGTTACACACCCCTGAAATAAAGGGCTGGACTTTTTAATCCTGACATCGTTAGGAATTCAGATGCCTGATATTTTCAACCTACTAAGACTTTCGAGACCAACTTCTGAGGGACTTGATCAGACCTTATCCAGAGCTTACATCTTGAAGAACAGATGTAAGAATTTCTTAATAGCACCAGAAAGTATATTACCAGAAAAAGAACAATAATCATTCAGTATTTCTTATTTGTGTTTCTACAGGGACACAGAGGCACAATATTTCCTTACAAACTATTAAGTGACCACCTGATTTCAAAAGCAAACCAACCACTCCGGATACAGGTGATCAGGACTTGTCAGGAGCTTCCTGGGGAAACAAATGCCATCGTTCTCCATGTTCTACCTCCTCATTTTTCACCGCAGCTTTTAGTGCTGAGCATGACACCATGTGATACAGGACATCCCTTTGGTCAGTCCGTGTCAACTGTGCTGGTTTTGTCCCTTCCCAGCTCCTTGTGCACCCCCCAGCCCCACGCTGGCAGTGCAACACAAGGAAGACAAACGCTTTTGCCTCTGTGCAAGCAATGCTTGGCAACATCTAAATATTGCTGTGCTGTCACCTCTATTTTAAACAAAATCCAAAACATAGCATTATACAAGCCTCTAGTAAGAAAATTAACTCAATGCCAGCCAAAACCACGAAAGGCTCCTAAACAGTTTAGCTGCACTTTTGACCTCTTGACTTTTTTTTTACCCATCATCATTTTGTGATGATGGTGATTGAGTGAAGACTCAAGTGATTACTCAGCAAAAAATAGAACTCTATGTAGTGCTTGAGCTGAACTTTAACTGAGTGACGTGGTTACACCAGTTATATTATTAGGTACATGTATTACTATACAATAAATGCTTATAGAAGTGTCTCACTTTCTTTTTTTTTCCATTGCTCTTACTCCTAGTTAAGAGCATACAGCAGTTATGTGAACCAATTGGAAATATATGTTATGTTTTTCTCAGGATCAGTGAAGTAACATTCCTCAAACAGCTTTGAAGTTTCAAGTGAGCAACATGTATCTGAACTAAGCCATACAGCTCTGCTTCAGGAATAAGAAATTAACTTTAGAAAAGCACAAAGTTACGGCTTCACGCACATGCCTGTTTAAAACACAATGATAAGGCAAGTGTTGCAAGCAAACACCAAAGACAGCATCAAATAAGGCAAGTAGAAATCTCTTACTGGTTCTTTCAGGCCTTTGAACAATCCTAGTCTTCTTGTTCTGAATTCCGCTTTCATGAAGTGCCTTAAACCAGTCTCTCAACCTGTTTGCGATCTCCCTAAATTCCAGGTCACTGCAAACTGAAAAACAAAATGTGAAATGTTCAACTTTTTTTTTTTTTCCTCCTGCATGCTAAATAGAACTCTTCAAATTAATTATACTTAAAGTAAAACATGTAGAACAATACAGACACATACATTCCAGAGTTTGCTTTCCTTCATAAAACTCGCTTTCATTACTTAGGTCAGCCCTCACAGCCCTATTAGGGTCCTGAGAAATAAAATTATTATGTAAGTGTAAAAATATGTGTGTGTAAAGATGCATGAAATATAAGCTGATAAAGTCATTTGCAAGCTACTGCAAAGAACTGAAACAGCCCTAGCAAGATATTCTCACATCTTACTCTAGAAGGCTGTGTCATGAATCCAGGACAGCCTTTCTGAGGTCCATTTCTACATTCAGTGGGCAATGGTACAGTAAGCCCTACCACAAGATGCTGGACATGTATACAGTTAATGCAGGAACACTCCCCTTGCTTTTCTACATTGAAACGTGAAGAAAAAGAAACAGTGTTGACAGAGAAGGTGCTTCAAGAATGCCCTGAAAGCCTATGTGATTGAATTCAGTTTTAAAAGCAGAAGATCGTGAACACTTACCTGCAAAAGGCAACAGACCTTGGTGACTGAAAGGATGGTTTCTTTGATGAGAAACAGCAAAGACAGAGAAAGCACACAAAACTAAAGAGACAATCTGCAGCAACAAGAGCAAATGTAGCAGAGAGCAAGAGATAAGCAGCAGACTGGCTTGAGGACTGTACAGTAATGGCAGTACTGAGGACTGCAGAAGAAACAGATAACACAGCTTTGCATGGATGAGACCTGTTCCTTCACTATCAAGCTGCTGGAGAAGATGGCAAAGAGAATGTGTGCTTGGAGATGTCCCTTCCAGAAGTCTGCGCTTCCATTTTCAACTGTTTGACAATAAGTGGGTATACATTTCCCTCATCAACAGGTATAATTTCCAAGCGATATCAGCACAAACCCGTGCAAGGGGAAGTTCAGACTGAACACCAGTAACTGACTAAGCTACAACCTGAGGCATCAAGGCTCCACAGCAATGATCTTGAAAGTAAATCTCTCGTTCAGCTTGCCTTTCCTTTATTGTTGTCCCAGTTTTGTCAGTATTGCACATCACGCAACAGGCTGTTTGGGTGTAAAGGCACAGTGCGCTGCAGAGCTATGCTTCTCTAGCAACCTCATGTAAGTTCTGACTCTCCGAGAAGATACACTGGAATGTACTGCATTTTCCAAGAGCCTCCCCATGATTTCCAATTCTGAGCAATTTATTTTTGGGGTGTTTCGATTTACAACTCTTATTTATTCTGTATTATCTCACATTGCTGTCAATAAATTAGCTTCTCCTATCTCACTTTTTTCCTCCTCTTCCTTCCACCTCCTTTCTCTGGAGGAGAGGAAGAGAGAAGTATTGCGTGATTATCTCTTTAAACTGCTATAATTATGTAGCAATCTATAGTTCTTGGTGACATAACTTTCAGCACACTTCAATAAATTAAATAACACCTATTTTATTTGACTAAGATAGAAACAAGTCACCATGCCAGCAACAGAAGGCACCGCTGCACTTTATTTTTAATTTGCCTAAAACATCTCAAGACTTTGATTCTCTCCACCAAAGATTTAGGTGCAATATATGTGCTGAATATATGCAAATTGATTACTAAAACTTATACTGTGCTTTTTTTCTTGTGCATTAGCACCTACCTGTGTATTTTTTTTTTTTCCCCCTTGGATAATTCAACAGGGCACTAGAGAAAGAATTGTTAATGATCTATGGCCCATATATTCAAAGATGTCATCCTGTGACATCTGGATGAAAACGATCTCCTGAGCCAAGATCCACCTCATATGTCAAGCTCGTAGGATTTCCATACTGCTATAATGCCATCTTCCCTTTTAAGTCTCGCATCAGCTGACAGGCCAGAATAAAGAATCTGACTTGGAATACTGACTTCTTTAATTTTCCCTTCCATTGCATCATAACATGGTCTCCACTAATCACCCTTGCGAGGTTTCGCAGAAAAACTTTCAGAATTGAACCAAAGGAACAGCAGTTGAGCCTGGCTATTTTGGTCTACGTCTAATTAAGGAGCTCTGGATTTAAGTTCTATCTCAGTAACATTAACTGAAAGAAGCACATGACAACTGCATGATGGAGAGATGTACAATTTCTCCACTTTCTAGAAGCAGTCAAATAGACATCATTAAGCTAATCCATCTCATAAGTCAATTTAGATGTGAAAATGAAGCATTAGGAAAAGGCAACAGTGCTTCTTTGACTGCTATGTGTAAGATACTGCTCACAGTTTCAGCACCTGACACTTGCCACTGTTGTTTATAATATAACCTAAAATGGCATTTTCTGTGCTCTTGTGAATTGCCTTCCTTTCAAAATGGAATGTACATATGGCACATTTGGGGCATCAGACACATCCTGTATCAGTTCTCAGACTGGGAGCATTTTTTTTAACTTCAGTTTCTTACAACCCTCTTCCCAAACTTTGCTTGAAATTTTAAATTATGAGTTCTAGATCAAAATAAAGACTGAGAAAATGAGAATCTTTTTGTTGCTGTTGTTAATTTTACAGATTTTGGTATCTTGATCATAGATTATTCCCAAAAATCAAGGCAATGCAAAACAAGCTGATTATAACTGTCATTTGATTATTTTACACCCCATAGCTGCTCAAGAGCTGGAGTCAGCTCTCAAACACAGCAGGTAATTACATTTACCCTATTATCAATTTAAATGCACAGTGAATTTTCGGTTCATAACACTTCTAATATGTCAAGTAAAACCAGATGTCTTCTGTAAGTGAAATATACATGAGAGATGCAGCAGAACTACAGTGATATGGACAATTAATAATTTACATAGAGAAAGTGTGCTCTTACCAAGCATGAGCTTATAAAAATCTCATATCTTAATATTTGATTATCACAGGTGCTTTTTTAATCAACCAACATTAATTTAATAACATTTCAGAAGACTACTTCAGCACTTCAGAAATATGAAACAATCTTAAGAAAATATATACACTTATATCATACTAAACTAGGGGAAAATAAAAGCCAAGGCTACTCTAACATGAGAATTATAACATTTTTTTTAAAACCTTATCAGAAAATGACATTTTCTCCCAAAAAATGACAAAGCAGAAAAAAAAACAGATTTACAGAAGTATGTAAGGAACACATAAAATCAATAGAATCAGAACAGGTTGGGAGAAACCACAAAAGATCATCAGGTCCAACACACTGTACTAGGTGGAGAAAACAGATCCTTAGAGTAGCACAGATCATAAATCCCTTTAGGAGAAAGAATATTAGCCACCCAGGCTGACAGACAAATTGAAGATTCTTACTCATTTCTAAAAGCATTTCATCACATTTTGTTCCTGTTTCCACATCCCATGATTGTATGACATATAAGAACCATTCTAAGATTCTAACACATAAAAAAAAGCAGCAAGATCATCTTGAAAACTGCAAAATAAATTCCCACTCAGCATCAAATCAAGCAGTTCTCTTTAGCTTTCCAAGAACATTCAGATTAATAGACAGCACACTTTGAAAAAAAAAAAATTAGTCTAAGAAGTAGCTTTCTGAAGGTCCTGAGGAGAACAAACATGAGACATCATCACAATTACAAATTTGCAATTCTTTTTCACAGAAGTTGGGCTGCACAAAGTAATCTTAAGCTATGCTTAATTAAAATCGTTGTTTTGTAACAAAAATAAAAATAAAAAAACCAGGTATAGTTGCTGAAAACATCTACACTGGTGCGGGGTTTTGTGTCCTGTCTCGGTGCAGTACCAGCCACAGAACTCCAAATTAATCGTAACAATTAATGTGAATAAACTTTGCTCTCCCTGTAAGAGAGGATCAGCCTAATGCTTTATTCACTAAAACACTGCCAATGAAACAGGCCTGCTCAAGGTTAGGCTATACCATGAAAAGTTTTATTAATTAATGCTTTCTAGAATATGCTTAGGGACTTTCTGTCCCAGTGATCAGCTTCCTGAGATACCTGCTGCTGAAATTACTATACGCACTGGTATGTACTGATATAAAATAGGTCAAGATGAGGTAACTCAGATTTATTCAGACTATTATTTCATCTGATAGACTGGGAGATGAATCTTTAATGGCAAAAGACAGACAGTAAAGGTTGTAGAAGGTTAGACAGTAATCAGAAAACGCATATTAAATCACACAAATTCACTCAGGAACCTGCCAGGAAGTACTTCTGTTTTTGTCTAATGTCAATGCAAGGCACTTCTGCTATTCCAATCAATTCCAGCAGCCATTAAGAGAATTAGTATGAGGTAAAATGAAGCCACCAGCTCAGGGGTTACTAGAGCTCCCTATCATCTGAAGTATTAAAAACTGATTGAATTTTAAAAACAACTTACATAGCTAAGCAGAAACATGAAGGGATTTGAAAACTTGTAGATACCCAGTCCAGAAATATCTTTATAGTATTATTTAAACATCACGTGGAAACAACTGTTCCATTTATTTTCACGTACGGTAAATGTTACAACTTGTGTGGACATCTGAATGTATTTTACTGGTTTGAACTCAAATATCATAGAATGGCTTGGGTCGAAGGGGACCTTCTGACACAGCAGAGAAAAAGGTATTTTAACAGTGCATACTTTTCATATAAGTAGATACATATATAAAGTTACCTGGAATTCAACAAACAAATCATTATCATATTGAAAAACGCACACTGAAATACTGTTATATTACAGATAAAGTTCTGTTAAGAGTCCAAAAGCAATCTGAGAGAAAAATAGGGTACATACACCCCACACTACAAGCATCATTCACAATTGGACAAGGAACTATAAACCTGGAGACAGAAGTTGTGCCTCTATTTACTTTAGGAAGATGTACTTCCACCTGAATTTTCAACATAGCATAACTACTTACAAACTCAGTTCTAAGAACACATCAACTGACAGCTGTGAAGGAAGCCATACAAAATTGAAGGC